ATATGCTGTATAATATGCTGTATGATATGTTGCATGATATGCTGTATAATATGCTGTGAAGAACTCATGTTACTGTAAAGAAAGACAATAAATGAAGTATAGAATTCAATTCACCATTGCACCTGCTGGTGTGGCTATTCATCGCCTGACCTCAAACACCGAGTAAATAGACGAAGCAAGAAACCCAGAGACATCACACAAACTAAACATATTTCACTTGAAGAACTATTGGAAGAAAAACACCATTGTAAAATAACAAAAAAAAACAACAAATATTGGATGATACATCCCACCGACTTCATCACAGATACCTAAGATCAGCTCGATCAGGGGGAATTCTTTCTCTTCAAGTTAGGACCGAAAGGTATAAAAATTATTTTGTTGCCCAGAGTGCTCACCGCCCCCCCCCCCCCCCCCTCCCCAAAAAAAAAAAACTATTTAATTCATTATTATTACAACAGGAGTTCATTAATGGCTTACTTTTACGCAAGAGTAATACTTTAAAGGACTTGTTTATAAAATTGTCATAGTTGCAAAATTTTGTCATGGTTAAAGATGTATTTATTTGCTGAAAATAAATATGTACAATGTAACTTTAAGAATCCATTTACATTTATTTGGATAAATAAAGAATCTTATCTTATCTTATTTTATCTCATCTTATCTCATCTTTTTTGTATCTTATACATCACAAAAAGTTTTAGAGTTTTAAAACGTAGAAATTCGAGTCCCGCTGTTTTTATATAGTTTTTCAAGCCTCTGGACTGACAGTGATATTTTCGTTAAAAAAAACATTATGACATTAAAAAAAAAAAATTAACAGTGAAAATAAATAGTTATTTCTCTCTCTCTCTCTCTCTCATGTGTGTGAATCCCAACGGTAGACATACTGGTTCATACATTCCGTTCGAAGAACACCACGTAATGACGAAGGATGATGTTGATTTTCTGTATTTCTATATGTGTTGAAGTCTATATATCTATCAGATGATAATTTTATTGATGCGTCATTTTATAAAGACAGTGGTTTAAAGATTAAGGCTTTGATATCGACACACCGTATTAAAGTGTTGAGTTTATAGAGCAATGTATACAGCCTATCAACAGCCTAGTAACAGCCTAATAACAGCCCACTAACAAACTAGTAACAGCTTATTAACAGCCTATTAAAAGTCTAGAAACAGCCTAGGAACAGCCCTAGTTTCTTCTTCTTCTTCTATATTTTTAGGGCCCACGATCAATGTATTGATCATTCTGGCCCCTATGTTCGTAGAGGGAATTTGCAATGTATCTGTACCTGGTATTGAAGAGGATTTTTCCCTAGTTACAAGGGCTACTCAGTGAGGGATTCATGAACTAGGGCAATAGACACATTTTTCAAGTGTTGTCGCCTCAACTGTTCCTTTTGGAAGCTTGTTCCAGTCCCTGATTGCCTTTGGCAGGAATGAGCAGTTCCTGTACTGTGTTCTTGCAGTTATGAGCCGGAAATACTTGTCATAGCCTCGTCACTGTCTAGGTGGGAGACCTTCTGTTTAATACTGCAGCAGTGGACCAGCCCAGTATTTATCTTGCACATTTTTCTCCTTAATTTTAACGTCTACTGAACGCGTTAGGTCACCAGGTCGTGTTTTTTTTTGTTACAAGCTGGCAAGGCAGTTACATTCTAATTCTCCTGGCTAGTCTTAAGACAAGAAATTTTAACATTGTAAAAATACCCCTCTAACAAAAGATTACAAAGTCTAGGTCCATACAAAAGATTTAGAGACAAAAATGCATTTATATAAAGTTGTATTAAACCAATATCTGGGTTTGATTGCAACCCACACTCGTCGAAAAAAAACACGACTGCCCCATGGGAAATGCTGTAAAGAAAGTGTCTTTCTTCTTATAAAGAAAAACACCGAAATCGGAGCAAAAAAAAAAAAATATTAAGAGAATAAAATATTACTAATATGTGTTGTTTTTTGTTAAATTTTCTGCAACGTGTGAATGTGTAATGCTGACTTTTTAAGTGGTGCTAAATTGACCTTTATTTGGTCACAAACATTTAATTAGGTAATTTGTAGTTTCTCAGAGCTGCACCTATTTGGTCACAAACAATTAGGTATTTTATAGTTTTTTAGAGTTGCCATTATTTGATAACAAACTATTAGTTGTTTTGTAGTTTCTAAGATCTGCAATTATTTGGTCACAAAAAAATCAGGTATTTTGTAGTTTCTCAAAGATGCAGTTGAAAAAATGAGTTTAGTTATGTTTGCCAATCTGATCTACTTTACGTTATTATTTGCTTATAAAATATTTATCCCGATAAATCCCGATCAGATTTTGCACAAAATATTTAGAAGTATGCTTATTTTTAAAAAAAATAATAACTTTAGCCATAATTAGCATCTTGATAAAACAAGTGTCTCAATGAGCGATGTGTTTTCTCTAACACTTCAGAGGATGTCTCTATTTTTTGGAGCTTCAAATAACTTCCGAAATTAAATAGATTATGTTTCGTAAAGTCCAAGACTGAATGTGTTTGCTAGCAGTGAAACTTCGAAGGCATTATGTCGTCCATTATTAGCTTCGTTACGTCACCATATCAACAAGGTCATGACAAAAATAGCTTGACAGAAATAACCAAGTTTGATACTGATAAATGCATGTCTTGGGAGATATTCGCGTCAACATCAAAGAAGAGCAGAACAAAAATAGGAAGACAAATTTGATGTGTTGATTGTTTTCGTGTTCAAGTTCCCTGACTGAAGGTAGAGAAGATGTTTAAAAAATGTATTACTCCCCTTTATTGCATACTTCAAATTTTAACAAGATGAGTTATTTTTCTTTGAACATATTTTTTAAATAGATTTTCATACACTCTTAATCCATGCGTCTTTTGTGGGAGGAAATAGAGCACATAGATGACTTTAAAGACAACATTCCTCCTGAAACTTGTTTAGACATCTCTTAAACATGCTTACTTTGTACTTTAGCTTAGTCAGCTAGAAGAGTCTATGAAGCAAACATCTGAACTTCACCCGAGGGAAGTTGATGAGAATAGTTATAGGATGTGGAGACGTCTCTAGTCGAGGTAATGTAATATTTAGTAGCGGCGAGAGAATGTGGTTTCTAAAAACTGTTGAGTCCAGACGGTGTGGTGTCAAAGTCATTGTCGTGTCAAGACATAGTAATGTCAAGACATTGTCGTGTCATGGCAAAGTGATGTCAAGACAGAGTGATGCCACGACAAAGTGATGTCAAGACAGAGTGGTGTCAAGACATAGTGAAGTCAAGACATAGTGAAGTCAAGACATAGTGAAGTCAAGACATAGTGATGTCAAGACAGAGTGGTGTGAAGACATAGTCGTGTTATGGCAAAGTGATCCCAAAACAGAGTGATTTTAAGACAACATAATGTCAAGACCCTCTGATGTCAAGACAGAGTGATGTAAAGGGATGATAGGGACCTGTGGTGAAGGTGCTTTATCCTCAATGTCTCTACGATATTTTTCATGGACACTTTGATACTAACAGACTGGAAATAGTTGATGAAAAACCACATTAATTTTCCCAATAGTGTTTATATTAAAGATTTTTTCAATTCATACGATCAAATTTTCGTTCAAACATTTGATGCAATTTTTGTATGAAGCCTTGTCACAACGTTCAAATCATCATATGATCAAATTTGGAAGGCTAGCAACTTTTTTTTTAAATACCGGTATTATTACGCCACCTCCATATCACGTGAACAAACACTAAAAGGAGGTTCTTCAATCTAGGTCATGTTAACATCGACTACGCTCAGTTATGGAAACAACGACAGCTTCCAAATGAGATGTATGAAGCTGACTTAATTTAGAAAAAAGATATAGTCGAAAAATTACACAATAAATGGGCGTAAGGCATGATGTAATTGACAGTTATTTACAAATAGGCTTTTCTAACGTATAAAACATATTACTATAACCCTGTAACTCTGTAACTGTAATAGGTCTAGACCAGGCCTGTACAACATACGGCCCGCCAGCACCCATACTGCAGCACGCGAAGTAAAGCAATATTCTTTATTCTTATTATTTTCTTAATAGCTCCCCCCCCCCTCGTCCTATTTTCTTTTGGCCCGCTCAAGTCCTGTCCTATTTTCTTTTGGCCCGCTCAAGTCCTGTCCTATTTTCTTTTGGCCCGCTCAAGTCCTGTCCTATTTTCTTTTGGCCCGCTCAAGTCCTGTCCTATTTTCTTTTGGCCAGCTCAAGTCCTGTCCTATTTTCTTTTGGCCCGCACACGTTTTCCATAAAGTGTTACGGCCCGCTTTACATTTTGAGTTGGCTTGGTCTGGACTAATCAATAACTTATGACTACTAGTTTCCTCTGCTGCGGCTAGCATCTGCGACTTTATCTATAACTATTTCTCTCTAGGCCAGCAATTGAGAAGCAGAGAATAATAATTTTTTAAGCGATTGCCATGTCTAAACTACGTGGACCACTCTGGGAATTCTACTCCACACAACTATCTTCAATGCCGACTAGCATATACTTATTGTTTTTTGAGCACTTTTAATCAAGTTAAATCACATCCAAGATTGGTTTAGGAGCTGTTTTTTTGTTTTTTTTTACGAACTTCGCTCAGGACAATTTTTTGTCAGCTCCAGCATAATTATAAAGGGTTTGAAGGGAAACGTATCGGTGGTTTCACTTGTCTGCCATATCTTGTCACCACTTGTGCTGGAATAGGATGTGCTGGAATAGGATGTGCTGGAATAGGATGTGCTGGAATAGGATGTGCTGGAATAGGATGTGCTGGAATAGGATGTGCTGGAATAGGATGTGCTGGAATAAGATGTGCTGGAATAAGATGTGCTGGAATAGGGTGTGCAGAACAGTCCTCGAAGCTCATGGAAGCCAGCAATAGCTATCCCAGAAGCTTCCACACCAAGGTCATACATTGTCAAAACACCAGATGGGATGACTGACATATCAGCGAAATCAGAAAATGTTAAAATAGGCATTTGGCGGGCAAAGCAGTACTCCAGGTTTATTCGAACTAGACAGCCCCGATACAATACATAACAACAACACAGGCCAACCAGGCCACGAAGCTCACTCACTACTCACAATGATAATCGTCAATCATACACACTATCACACACACGTGCATGGCCTTTTTATTGAATCCTTTAAATTAACTTCGCTTTTATTCATGTGTTTCTGACTGGAAAAATCTTCGGACGGCTTATTGACCCACTTCCCGCCAACCTATTGAGCTGAAACTTGGCACATACTTTCGTTGCCGATGACAACACATTTTATCGAATTTTAGAAGATTAAAAAATGTGTGACTTGTAATTAGCTCAAGGAATTTTTCCCTCAGTAAAATGAATCTTGCGTCCTTAGAATGTATACGTTGCAATCAAGAAATATGTCCCGCGCACAGTGAAGCTTGACCTGGCAGGGGACGCAACTTGTTAACTTGGCGCCGACCACAGTTACCTCGTACTGTAGAGTGCCAGGAGCTGCATAGGGTAAAATTAGGTGGTGCCTCCTACACGGGTTATTCTTTTATATTTTTAAATAAATGTAATTTATCAATTCTTTGTATGAAACTATATTTGTATCAATAACTATTAAAACTAAAGCCGGTAGTGTGTTTCAGTGGATGTTTGGTCAGTCACGCGGTCCTGAGTTCTATCATTATATAAAGCCTATTACTATCACTTTTTAGTTAATGCATTCTTCTTAGTAATTGCCTCATCTTTACTACTATTTAGTTAAGTTCCTATAAAATATCAACAATAAATTAATTTAATAAACAACTATTTATGTGGTAGCCGATCCATTTAAAATGAAAGCTTCTCATCATTTAAAAAAAAACACAATATCATAAAATAAGTGAGAGAAAAAATTCGAAGACATATAGTTTTTTTGTTTTTTTATAGATAAGAATGATTTTTAATTTTAAATGATAAATAACAAAGTATAGGACTATACAGAACAAGGCAAGTGTTTAAATGTTGTCCATCATCATGTACTGAAGGAGCATATTGTTGGGCTGTTGGCTTGTGAGACCTCCAAGACCGCCGGACTGTCTCGCAGATGGAAAACCTCCAGACAGCTGTGAAAGCAGCTGTTGGGGGGACCACTGCGGGAGACCAGACAACGGCTGTTGGGACCAGGGCTGCTGCTGCTGACCAAAAGACGGCTGCTGTTGCTGAGACCACGGCTGCTGCTGTTGTTGTCGCTGACGCCCCTGACCTTGATTTCGTTGACGCCCCTGACCCTGATTTTGTTGTCCCCCTTGTCCCTGATTTTGTTGCCCCCCTTGTCCTTGATCTTGTCCTTGGTCTTGTCGGGTTAGGTTGGGATCCGCGTCATTTTTGTCATCTGACCACTTCAACAAGTCAACAAAGTTACTGGCCATACCGAAACCTGGTACTGGAAGCAAACAAAAATACAGGAAATATTAGAACATTTACAGAAACTGCTGAACTAGACAGCAACAAGCAATATCGACTTCACGCAACTCTCGTAACTTAAGTACTTAGGACATAAATCAGATGCAGCATACAGCACCAAGGATATTCTCGATTTGTACTAAGAAAATACTGTACCAAGTATACAATTAACCTACCACAGACAATACCAAGTATATACATAACCTACAACACATAGTAACAAATATATACACAGCCTACAACACACAATAAGAAGCACATGCGCTATCTGACATTATATTTCTACAACATACAGTACCTCAATCAAAGAGTACACCGAACATATTGTAATTTTAAAATAAAAAAATTTAGATCTTCACTGCGTCCGTAAAAAAATGGAATCCTTTTAATAATGATTGGTCGATGGCTATCGCGTCTTGTGCTTAAGCTCATAGTGAACAACTCCATAACAAACTTTATTTTAATTTTTAAACTATTAACTTTGTGTTAGAATAAAAATGAGTTTTGGAATTTCAAAAAAGTTGCTAAATATTAACCATTATATAGTTTTCATGATTACAAAAAGGTTTTTCTTTTTTTTAAATCCTTTATATTTACTTCGCTTTTGTTCGTGGCTAGCTGGCTAGCAAAATCTTTGGACGGCTAATAGACCCACTTCCCATCAAGCTATCAAGCTCATGGACTCATTGCCGAAGACAAAACATTCAACTAAATTTTCAGTGCGTAATATTTTCTTTTTTTTTGTTTGTTTATATTGTTGGTGAAATAAATCTGCGGTGTAAAGGCGCGTGAGTCATTACAATATTAATATAGTTCAGGGGCGTAACAAAAATGTGCGGTTGCTAGCCTTGTTGGGGGGGGGGGTGAGCACTAATTTGGATTCTTAAAAAGTATGTTACTTGTATGCATTTTTTGTCAAATTTTAAGCGCACCCCCCCCCCCCATTGCTCGATTTTACATTTGATATAAAGGCTTTATACCAACAAGTTTGTTTTTAGGGGTTCTTTATTTCCGGACAAAGCGTAAGTTTCAGTTTAACACAAAACTACTTCGTTGACTTGCTGTTGTTAGGCCGATACCTTCATTTCAAATCGTTTGTAACAAGTTCAAAATATATTTAAAAGAACAAAATGAAAGTAGAGAATTTAAAATGGTGTTCCGTCGTTAGGGCCAGTAATCGTGGAATAGTATGGTCTTTTTGGAATAAATGTTTACATAATAATCTCCCTTGTAATCAGGTATTTGTGAAATGTTAACTATTGCGTCTAACAAGCTGGAGATCTTCATTTTAGTCATCAAATGAGTTCCTTGACTCTGTTACTTGTTCTATGATTTCTCCATTCATATTTCATTTTTAGGTTAACTACACTTTGAGTTGCAATACAAAATACAACATCACATCCTTAGTAAATGTTTAAAAACGTTAAATTCATTTGGAGCCAAAAGTTACTATTTACTACAAACCTGGTTGAGCTAAAGTCACGGAGCACAAGACAAGCAGAAATCCAAAACAACAAAATGTTGCTGCAGAGTGAAGCATTCTGGGAACAAAATAATAAACAAATGAGTTTTAGAGGACTAGAGCTTTCAATGACGCGGCTACATACACTTGACATTATTGAGTAACTCATTATAAGAGGGTTTGACTGCGCTACAGCTTTCAAGTAGATTAATGAGACACAAGCAATATGCGTAAATAAAACAATATATATTAAGCTTTAATAATTAATTGTTATACAGAATACAAAATGCAAATATTTCGGCAAACGCCTTCATCAGTACAACTACAACAAAATAATTCATATAAGTATAGATTAAATTGACATAAGTGTATGTATGTATGTATCCTACCGAAAAATGTAAGAAAAGACTATGAATAATGGGCAAAATTCCCTGACAAAAACAGAGTTCAGAAGAACGGAAAGAAAATGAGTGTAAGTAAAATGTAAAAACCAAACAGGAAAGGAGACATTGCAACTATGTAAAATTGTGAATTTGTTTTATACCGTATGGAGTCAACGTACCAAATCTTTATATTATATATTTATTTTCAATGTACATTCTATCCGGTGTATTACTTGCATAAAATATACCACTAACTGCAATGTCAAATATTACAATATGGTTGGTACTATTGTATTGTTTAGAAACTGGTGTTATAGAGGTGTTCGCTAAAACGGTCTCTGAGGCGACGACCTGTCTCTCCTGTGTATGATTGTACGCACTTTTTACAAAGGATGGTGTAAATCACGTTGTGACCTGTGCAAGTAAAACCATCTTTGATTCTGAATAATTCCCTGAAAGAAAGTGTTCCTCTCAACGTCAGTCTGGTAGGAACATTTTTTTTCAACGACTTCTGTTGCAACTAATGGACTCGATGTAAACGGGTACGTTAATAAACATTCTTGTGTTGATGGAAATGTTTCAGATAGCAGACTTTATATATTTACACGAAAGAATTCTTCTTAAAGTTATCACTCTGTCGATATATGCAATTACATAGACAGTTTACATAGATAGTTTGCATAGATAGTTTACATGGATAGTTTACATAGGTAGTTTGCATAGATAGTTTACATAGATAGTTTACATAGACAGTTTACATAGACAGTTTGCATAGATAGTTTACACAGATAGTTTACCATACATTTTTTGTGTACAACACAAGCGAAATTCCTTTTGATTATCAACGGACTCATGGAAATCAATTTTCTAATGTATTTTCCCCCTCCTTTCAACCCATTCACTCCAACCACACAATCATTTACCAACTACACAATCATCTACCAACCACACAATCATCTACCAAACACACAATCAACTACCATCTACCCTGTCCCCATGCAACCCAACCAAACGGTGATGCACCATCGTCTCACGAGACGGAAGGATGCCGATATTACCCTGTCCCCAAACATTTTCCTCTTCCGATTTCTTACAACCTCCCCAAACTCCTCCCCCCCCCCAACCTCTTGTTTCGATGTTTATCAGCTGAGCTGCTTTCAAATTCAAACACACTGTTATTTTAGAGGAATGATTGTGGTGTGTGTGTGTCGGATGAGATGGGATGGGGGGGGGTCATCATATAAACATATATCAGATATGAGTCATGCAAAACAAACACACACACACACACTCACATACACACACACACACACATAGAAAATCGATAAAACTTAATCAAAGCGAAATGTAGCATTGTATGATCTAACTCGAACCTTCTACCATTGAAATCTTTTATTCTAAACCAGATGATATTAACCATCAGTTGAACTCAACAACAGCGACCTTCTGTTGAACCCAACAGCGACCTTTGGTTGAAGACAACAGTGACCTTCGGTTGAACACAACAGTGATTTAACACAGCGGTGACCTTAAGTTGAACAAATTGTTCATAAAATGTACTCACGTGTCTGGTGGGGGCAGTTCAAATACAAAATGAAAACTTGACGTCGGTGTCTTAACGATGCGTGTTGTCAACTTTTGCTTCGGTCAACTCTACTCCAGGTTGCAAGCGTACCTACAAGATAATTCTACAAGTTCGGCCTCACCCTATATATACAGTAGACAAGAGATCGACGCCCAATAGTGAGGTGCTGCTGTTAGAAAGGGTGGAGCTGGCTAATGGATGGCTACTTTCATGGTGGGGCTTACCAAAAAAATTACATGAAAAGAGATAGGCTTAGTGTTGGTCTTTAAAACAATATTAATCTGTGTGCATCGTTACAGCCGATAGGGCGTCAAGTCGTGTAGAATTAGTATGTAAACAAAGACTTGTTTTATTTTTTTAAATTGAAAGTAAGACATATGTTTAAGGGGGGTGTGATGTCACACAGGTGACCGAAAGCTTAATTCCGCCGCATGGCATATCACATTGGTGACTTATGTGTTTCAACTGTGTCTATGCGACTAAGTGTGTCAAGCTCGGGTGTATTATTGTTGTTGTTTTTGTTGTTGTTGTTGTTGTTGTTGTTGGTGTGTGACATATGCATGTGGTGCTCAAACGTGACCATTTTTTTAAAGAGGTTATGTGACACTCCAGCCTTAGATGGAAAACTGTTCACCTCGGTGGCCTCTAGGACAACTCTAACCAATCAAACCAGGTGGATTGGGGGGGGGGGGGAAGATGAAAACGAGTTTATTGATTACGGGGGTGTACTTTTGGGACAAGCTGCCTTTACCCGTAAACAAATGTTTTAATAGGACAACTTATTTTATCTCTAGGACAACTCTAACCAATCAAACCAGGTGGATTGGGGGGGGGGGGGAAGATGTAAACGAGTTTATTGATTACGGGTGTGTAACTTTGGTACAAGCTGACTTTACCCGTAAACAAATGTTTTAATATGACAACTTATTTTAATTGTAACATATATAAATACATGTTTGAACATCGCGCTTGTTTATTTGTTTACGTATTCAAATACACACTTACACACACAACACACTCACACAAAGAGTGTGTGAGTGAAAGATATAATAAATTAACGTGGGAGGTGAGCCAGCCTAGACCTCTTCTGAGAAGTGAGCCAGCTTAGACCTCTGCTGAGAAGTGAGCCAGCCTAGACCTCTTTGAGAAGTGAGCCAGTGTAGACCTCTTCTGAGATGTGAGCCAGTCTAGACATCTTTTGAGAAGTGAGCCAGCCTAGACCTCTTCTGAGAAGTGAGCCAGCCTAGACCTCTTCTGAGAAGTGAGCCAGCCTAGACCTCTTCTGAGAAGTGAGCCAGCCTAGACCTCTTCTGAGATGTGAGCCAGCCTAGACCTCTTCTGAGAAGTGAGCCAGCCTAGACCTCTTCTGAGAAGTGAGCCAGCCTAGACCTCTTCTGAGAAGTGAGCCAGCCTAGACCTCTTCTGAGAAGTGAGCCAGCCTAGACCTCTTCTGAGAAGTGAGCCAGCCTAGACCTCTTCTGAGAAGTGAGCCAGCCTAGACCTCTTCTGAGAAGTGAGCCAGCCTAGACCTCTTCTGAGAAGTGAAGCAGTCTAGACCTCTTCTGAGAAGTGAGCCAGCCTAGACCTCTTCTGAGAAGTGAGCCAGTCTAGACCTCTTCTAAGAAGTGAGCCAGCCTAGACCTCTTCTGAGAAGTGAGCCAGCCTAGACCTCTTCTGAGATTGATTAATAAACAATTCGAAAAAAAAACCTCTAAACTTTCTCAATATAAATAATGAAAACTTTTTGTGATGTGTCAGTAAATTAAACAATACACACAAAAAAATTCGTTTTCTAAAAAAAAATATGCTTTTCAAAAAAGAATACTAAAAAGTCTAAAATAAATAACTTCATAAGTTGTTACAGTCATATGACGAAACAAAACCCGTGAAGCTACCGATCATGAAAGGTTGAAGTGTCATCGGGGAGGGGGTGTGTAACAAGGTTTCAGCTCAATGGGAGATCAGGAAGTGGGTCAAAATTGAGAAGTAAGATTTGACCCCACACAATCTTACAAACGGACAGAGCAGCCCAAGAAAACAACTAGCTTAGACAGCCAGCAACACCCAAAACGTATACTTTTTTTTAAAAAATTGTTTTTAAAGAAACAAAATCTGTTTGGTGAAAATCGTGCTGAATATTATTTGTTTCACTTAATGGTTGCTGTTTTTAAAAAAATAAAACCAATTAAATTGACGCCCTCTTGTGTCAGCCCTACACATATGACGTCAATGTACCAAGGGAGGGCACCTGAAGCTGTCAGGCAATGAAATAAAAGTACCGAGTTATCACCGCTTTAAGTTAAATAGAGGGGAAAAAAAGATAATTTATCTTTTCTTGATTAAGTATGGTGGTTGTAAGAGTGGGGAGGGGAGGGGTGCAGCTTAGGCTGGCTTAGGGCGGCTTAGTCTGGCTTAGAGGGTCTTGGATGGAGAGGTTAGTGGTGGATACGCTAAATGAACATGGGGAGTGGTAGCATCAATTTCCACGACAAATTTTCAACAATTGGATCGCGGTATGGCCGTAAAGGTAAAATGCGGAGTTAGTTTTACAATTTATAAATTATTCAATTTTTAAATTTTTTTTATTTCAATTCTGTAATGCTCCTAAAAAGCATTAGAATCGGTGTGCACCTTACATTCTAAATTATCTGCAATTATTGAATTCACATATTGAGCACATTATCACCAAATATATATTATCATTGGCTTCTGAATTTTAAAGTTCAATATTTGTATATTCTATAAGTCCTAATTTATCGATCATAATATCCTTTACAATGCTTTTATTAAGGCTTTCATCTTCTTTCAGATATTTACTCATGTCAGAAAATTTTCGCTTCCTCTCTCTCTTTCTGTGTGAAGACATGGCACTGACAGGCATGGTGCTGTCTGTCATGCCGCTGTCACTTCGCTGAATAGAATGTCCCTGACTGTCATGTCATTGTCCTGTCACTGACTGGCCTGCCGCTGTCATGTAACGCACTGTCGTGTCGCAGTCGTGTCGCTGAAAAGCATGTCACTGTCATGTAGTTGACTGTCATGTCACTGACAGTCATGATGCAGATTGAGTGAAATTACACGTATGCTTAACATTTTAATCCAATTAATTCTTCAATGAATGACTATTCGCTTTTAACGTATTATGAGAAGCTTATACGTTAAATCTATTCATAGAACATAACCGCCCATGATGACTGTGTGTGCGTGCATGGACAAACTTTCGTACGTTTATGTGTGTGTATGCAAGTATGTGTGTATATGCAGGTATGTGTGTGTATGCAAGTATATGTGTGTATGCAAGTATGTGTGTGTATGCAAGTATATGTGAGTATGCAAGTATGTGTGTGTATGTAAGTATGTGTGAGTATGCACGTATGTGAGGGTATGCAAGAAACTTTGTGTAATTTGTTATTTACCATCCGACTGGTTTCTTTAGGGTCGAATTAATCTTATAATAAGATTTTTTAATGTATTATTTTATTCGTTTTTAGCATGCGAAGACTTGAGTAGTAGCCTTGACTTGGGCTGTATTTTGTTTCAATTGAGTGAAAGTTGCTCAATTCGTCAGCCTCACTCTCTCGTCCTTGGCTATTTGTTGAAATGGCAAGACTTAATCAAAACGAATGGGAATGGATGCAGTTGATCAGTGGTCCCCA